GTTAAATTTGCATTTATGATTAAACCAGTATAAATCAAGATTTACCTAGACGTTTCCATCACAACATTATCACCACCCCCACCCCCCAGTTTGAAAATTTGTTGTATAATGTTCTGAATATCACTGTAGATAAGTTTATAATTGAAAATGTTTGTAAAATTGTTTGCCTATGCAGCTCTGTTATGTTTAATAGCTTGTTTATGATGTTTTGTTAATAACAATTGGTCCGGTCTTGTTTAAGAGTACTGCAGTTCCCGTTCCACCACCAACGATGACATTCATAAAGGACGATAAATACACAAACCAGACTGAAATGTATACCCAAGGTTTGATAAGAGCTAAAGTTAAGGTTAAATTTTACGCTGGTTTCCAGAGCGAAGGGTGTATGATATACATTTACGCGAATGCAGATGGTGTTCAATTTGGCGAAGTACAGGAGCCCACAACAACATCATCAGGGTTAGGAATTGAACACGGTTATCACAGAATCGTGGTAAGAGAAATGCCCCTGATTATATAATACTATATGGCACAGTTCTCCCAAAGCCGAAATTTTCAGAATTATTTGCCGTAATAAAATGCTCGTGGCTATATTAAAGATGGTCAGTCGTAATGCTTACTGCCTCTAGGGTGGGAGGGTTGGGGGAAGGGATCCTTGGCTGTGTGAAAATATAAGTTGATTCTATGATTTATAGTCACACATTATAGTTATATTCTTTAACGATACAGAAATATTGACTTTTAATGCCGTCTTTTCAGTCTTAATATTAATATTCTTAGATTAGCTAATAAGCCTAGGCCTACTTTACTGAACTTTCAACGGATCGTTTTTAATGTTAATGATCCGTTTAGACTGCCATCGACAAACGGCGTCGCCTCGTTTAGTGAATGTAGGTAAGAATGGCCCCAGTAAAAATGGCCCAGGAAAAAAATGGCCCCGGAAAAAATGGCCCCAATGAAAAAATTCAGTAAAGAAATGATTTTTTTTTTTAAATCTTCAAATATGTAAATACTGTAATAAGCAAGAATTTAATCAATAACAAATACAGTTACACAACAGATGCAAATAATGTACTGAGAGATTATCAGAAAACAACGGCCACTGAACAGTTTTTGATAGTTGAAATAAGTTTTAAAAACATTATTCCACTAACAAATTAGAGGAATGACATACATACAGTACTTCAACTACCAGAATATGCAACTCATAGATAACCACAAAATCCACTTTTGTTAAGTATCAAAAGAAATAACTTTACATGTTATAAACAGTGCAAATAAACAGTAGTTAAAGCATTTGGATCAATTGTGTGTTTGAATGACAAGTTCATGTATGGGAAAAGGGAGGTTTACTTTACTTCAACAAATGTTCTGCTTAGAGTTACTTAAAAAAAGTATTTGTTAATCAAATATTGTTTTTAAAGTAAACAGAATAATTAGGAATACATTTATTTAAGCAACTTATTTAATTGCATACTTGGTTTCTACTCCCAGCCAAGTAAATTTAAGTGCCTAAAACTATACTAAATAATGTAAACTGGGATACTATATTATATACATGGTTATGTAAATATGGCAATTATGCTAAGAATTAAAATGACGTGTAATTGTGAGTGTAAAGTAATTATGGTAGGATTAAATGGTATTGCTAAATCCCAAAAACCTCCTAAAACACATTGTAGAAAACCAAACAATTCAATTGTGATTGACTCACTTGGTATATCAATAAGACTGTTAAATATTTATAATAACCTATTTTTTGGATAAAATGTTAATTTTTTTTCTTTTGTGAAAATATACTTGCAAATACACCACAATCCTCCAAACACACTGCGAACCCCATCCAAACACTTTAATTACGATTGTAGAACTCTCTTTTTCTAAAAAAAAAAAAATAATAATAATTTGATGTTCATATTAACTCATTGTTTGTGGGGTTTACCGATACCCGAATTGAATTTCTGGAAAATTGTGATTCCGCTTCCTTGAAATTGGTCACAAATAAATTATTTTAGTATTAATAAATGCATGATTTATGTTGATTTATTGATTATGTTGTTGCTATTTTTTAACATTTAAATGAAAAAAAAAATAAAAAGTGTTATTTATGGCTTTTTTTATCTTTGAATATTTTATCATTGAATATGTAATTTCTGCAAAAAGTAAAATGTAAATGGCAATTTATTTAATGTTAGATTCCTTTTAAAAACTAAATTATTTCAGTTTAAAAAAATGCATATAATCATTTTTTTTAAAAATCAGTTTTAATACAGAATTTAATTATTGGGGCCATTTTTACCTACCTGTCATTTGGCCGGGGGCCATTTTTACCGGGGCCATTTTTTCCCTGGCCATTTTTTCCTGGGCCATGTTTTCCGGGGCCATTCTTACCGTACACCCTACTAATAATATATAAAATATACATAGGTCTGCTGAATTTTTTCATTGGGGCCATTTTTACCTACTTGTAATTTGGGGCCATTTTTACTGGGGCCATTTTTAGCGGGGCCATTTTTTCCTGGGCCATTTTTTTTGGGGCCATTCTTACCTACATTCATTATTAGTAAACCCAAAATTTATTAAATAAGCCTTTCAAACCCCCAAATAGTCATACTTTTCACCCCCTTGAACACTTAAGAGAGATTTTGAGCGACGTCCGACCACGCCCACTTTTTTTTTATTTCGTCGCACTACCCCCCCCCCCCCCGGTCGCGGGTACCTCGGACCTCCGTCGGGCAAATCCTGGTGCCACCACTGCCAAACTACCACTAAGTTCCATGAGACATTGAAAATGTCATGATTCTTGACAATGGTCAAATACATCGAAACGTTTAATCTTCAAAATATCTGTTTTTTTTATGAGTTAGGTCTACTGTGTTTTTATTTTATTCTTGAGACAAATATCCCGTCATGTTTCCATAAGGAAGATGAATTCATCCATAACATGATGTCGTCATATCATACCTTGACAAAATGGGCCTTGTTATGCTGCTAGACCTCATATCTTAAACATATGGTGGCAACCCCAAATTGAAGCCCACGTCCTCTTATACAGGTGGATTTTTTTTTCCATTTTAGAACGGCATGTACACATTGACAGGAATATCTGTCAATGTTGAAAGCAATCGAAATATCGTGATACGTTTAACAATGGCTACAGTATCGGATACCAGTGATCTTCAGGATGGCCATGTCTACACGTGGCAAGCGAGCTTGTCGTGCGGTGGTGTTGAAGAAATACAAACTCTGGATTTTACAGCAAATTTGGAAGTCGTGGTAAGTCCAGAGAGGTATGGTAATTCTAAAAGGCGACAACATTAAATTTTAATTGAATGACTGAGAAATTCGGGTTTAACATGGGGTGGACAACATTTTCTTTTGCAAAGTATGTACACTGTGCTACCACCAATTGTATATAGTACATTATCATAAAAGCCTGGTTCTCACGAGAGCCCCAGTATCCGGATCGGGAGCTAACCGTTAGCGCTAATCGTTAGCACCTGCGTGAGTACGCCCGATCGGTTAGCGTTAACCGTTAGCAGTATCCGGATACCGCTAACGGTTAGCAAGCCCTATCGGTTAGCAAGTTGGGCGTTTTTCTATCATTAACCAATCACACGTACGCGTTTACAATTTCCAGTTTCTTATTGGCCAGCGATTCGATCATCATATTTTTGGTATCCGGATCGGGATTTTCTCGGATGGACGCACGGAAGCCAACGGTTAGCAGGATCCGGATCCTGCTAACCGTTAGCAGCCGTGTGAGAACATAGCCTTAGTTATCGAACTTTCTGCCCGTTTATTATAGCACAGACCCTATGGCCTGGCGCACTGCTAGTAAAGTGATGACGTCACGAAGCAAGTTGGTGCTAGTCTGCGTTATATACACGCGCGAATGCATGGAACCAGCCATGCTTCGTAAACGTTACGCTTCGGTTCTTTAGGTTTTGTACGAAAGACCATTAGTGCCAAAATAAGTATACGTTAGCGTATAATTACTAATTCAAAATTTCGAATTACTAATTCGTAATTTCGAATTAGTGCACGCTAACATATACTTGTTTTAGCACACTAATTGTTTTTCGTAGTTTCGACTGCTGAAAACGATATTTTAGCCTGGGTCTCACGAGAGCCTTAAGTATCTGGATCGGGAGCTAACCGTTAGCGCTAACAGTTAGCACCTGCGTGAGAACGCCCGATCGGTTAGCGCTAACCGTTAGCGGTATCCGGATACCGCTAACGGTTAGCAAGCGCTATCGGTTAGCAAGTTGAGCGCGTTTCTATCATCAGCCAATCACAACACGCGTTTACAATTTCCAGTTTCTTATTGGCCAGCGATTCGATCATCATATTTTTGGTATCCGGATTGGGATTTTCTCGTATCATGGACGCCGTTAGCAGCCGTGTGAGAACATAGCCTAGAAGTGGTTTGGCGCATCAGAAAATGGTTTAGATTCCCAACCTTGAGATCAGGGTTTCAATCCCTCGCTCTGCATTTCGCTTGTGTCCTTTCTACACCAAGAAGAATGATGGGAGCCTGGTCGCGCTGCCTGCTCCTGCGCTGATTACAGCTGCATCACTTACTCATGTAGACCCCAATGACCAGGGACAGAAAGTGCTAGGTATCTGCAAAGAAAGGCGCTAAATTACTACGACGCCTGAAACCTCGAGGGTTGAAGGCAATTTTTGAAGGAAAAAATGGCTACTACAGTATTAAAGCCTTCTATTTGCCGATTGTCTGAAAAAATTGAAAATAATACTGCCTTACAAGTCAATCATCTTGTTATCCCAGTGCCCTTATGTTATTTTATGTAAACTGCTTGTTGTATCGGTAACCGGTTGCTGGTTGTTATATATTAGTAATAGTAATATTCTTTTAATTAATATAATTTGTTTTCTCATTTAGGAAGAGGTTGAAATTCCTGAATTGAAATTTGCGGAGGTGTCTGAGAACGTATTACATCCGGGTGATCAAATATCTGGTAAAGTAACTGCGACATTCCCACAGTATTTTTATGGAAGTTTTAAAATCACGATATCAACAGTTTATAACGAAACAACTAATTCCATATTTGGATATTTTACTCAAGAGCCAAGAAAATTCATGACAGATTCTAATACCGGTATATCTTGGCATGACACACACAGTTTTATTGGTTCCACGGTGAGTAGGTCTATAATGGTTTTCCTTATTCCGTAGCTTCTACACACGCCTAAGGCGCTTGAAAATCAGCAAACATCGCTTTTGTATGTTGTCATTTCCAATTGTTGGACTAACTCTTTGTAAATGTACTAAAATATAACGTAATCTAACCACTTTAATTTCGATAAGCAATAATTGCAGGGGGATCTATGAGTAAGACTTTTCTACCTGTGTTTACGTAGGCCTACTGCATTTCAACATTGTTGTGGTCTACTGATCTTATCTGGTCATCATCATGAAGTAACGTACCACAGTCGTGTCGTCACAACACCAAGTTGGCGCCCTCTGGACGTTGGTTACCGTTCATACGCCTGAATGACTTCATAATCTTGATGGTTCAGAATAGCCTTCTGGAATAGGCATTTTAAACCTAATAATTTACCATCAAAATGTACTAAAAACACAAAAAGCTCGTATTATATTAATTATCGAACACCGATAGCAACGGAGTAGTATCACGTGGTATCGTGACGTAACACTGTAGTACTCTATTCGTCATAATTGACATCCCAACCCGACTACATCCTTTTACAAACCTGAGAAGATTTCACCTCTCACCAATAATTTTTTCACCAATGCTATATACATTTCTTTACACTTTCGCAATCAATGCTTTTCTTCAATTCCCTTTCCGAATCTCTCGCTTTGAAACTCCTTTCTTCTCATAGTATTTTTGTTTACCACGCATAAAAATCCAAACGTTTTCATAAACGCTAAGCCTCAAAAGAGGTAGAAACACAAATGGCATAAAATATTTCACAGAATCACTTTACTTCTTTTATTAGAAAAAAACCCACATTTTTATATATTTACCAGCCTGTTTACCACTAGTATACTGGATAGTAAATAACAAATGTGGCAAAAAGAAAGCCAAACCAAAAAAAATATTTTAATATTTAAGTTAATTAATACAAAGTTAAACAGTAAAATGAAAGCTATAAAATGGTAAAATCAGAAACCATCACCGAATCGTTATTGTTGTTTTAACATTGAAAATGGGGTAAATAACAACGTATTATGGCGTATAGATATATAAAGGTTAGTTTAGTGTAATACAATTATAGATTTTTAAAATGTTGACATTAAAGCATGTTTTGGCCATTATGTGTGAAACATGAGTGACTGGTTTTGGCTTGTCTTTGGTATAAATAGTAAACACGCTCACCCAAAACGAATTCCTAATATCGGACGTGAAACTAACAATAGGCCTATTTGTACTTGGTCTTATCATATTGTAGATGTATCTCTATGAAGTACAAACTAGTAGCAGTGAGAAAGCAAACTTTCCAGGCAGCCTTGAGAGAGATCGTCAAGCAAACATTGAATTCAATTTCATTTTGTCAAATACGCCTGATATACAGAACGACACTAATTATATAATGTTTGCTACTTTGGAGACTGAAAACACTGACGTGGTACATACCGGCCTTGAATTCACTACAGATCTCACTACACAGGTAAGGCGAGACTTTTTTTATACCATGTTTCACGAACTAGTTTCGTTAAATCATTTTGCTAAATTTGAAAAAAAAAAATTTGTTTTCTCATTTACCAAAATTATTTCACGAAAACAGTCTAGACGGAGGAGAAAATAAATTGAAACGTTATTAATTAATAAACAGTGTCGTAATAAGATTGATATATGCTTGAAATTTATAATTAAGGAAGAAATATATACATCTTATTTTTGGAGATTTCAGGGAAGCAATACAATTTGGGTTTTTTTCATTCTGTTTCGTCTTAGGAAATTTCTGTTCCTATATTACTCAAATAATCGAAAAAAAAAATTCACAATCAACATTTTGATGATAATGTTTATTCATTACATCACCGAAACGTTTGGTATCGTGTTTATATAAAAATTTTTCAACTGATAAAACATAATTTGATTTTTAATTTTAATCGTGCATTAGTTTCCAAGTAAACAATATTTATTAAAAAGTGTTTGGCTGCCATGTTCATCGGAGATAAGTGTTTTACATGATCACGGTAATACATAAGTCTAATGATATCAGGTGTGGTCCATTTCATTATTTATTTAGGTTGAATATATTAAACTTATACAGTTACAAGATAATTGTTGACATTGTTCAATGGTTAATACGATAAATAAAAAAACACCAATTTAATAAAAAATTTATATAAACACGATACCAAACGTTTCGGTGATGTAATGAATAAACATTATCATCGAAATGTTGATTGTGAAATTTTTTTTCGATTATTTGAGTAATATTGGAACAGTAAAAACGCTTATTATTATGGTTAGTCTAGCCAATAGTGGCTCTTCAAAGATGCCCTCTGAGAACATCTAAAAATTAGAAAATTGAAAAAAATCCAAAGATTTATTGTAAAATAGTATAAAAGATCGGAGAGACCACTGCTTCTAAACCAACCCATCGGTGTTACACATCTTAGTTGACATGTTCAGTCAATTTGCATGCGTCAAGCCCCCCGACTGTACTATTGAACCAGGGCCTCTCACAACCTAGTGACGCCACTATGATATGATGGAAAGTCTCTGTGGTTACAATTGCGCCTATATCGTTAGGTCTTATGATATCATACTCGCCTTGATGTGAGAGCGTGCCGCTAAAAACTTGTTATCGTGTCCACAGAAACCTTCGACGTATTTGTAGATGTGACCGTAAGGGCAGGCCCTAGCAGGTATATAAAGTATGCAAAAACAGGCTTCGGTCATGTTCGATCTCCATAACCGCGCTACGTCTGTTTGGAGTCTACTATTTCATTTCGGGTAGCTAGGGGGTATAAATGTATGAGGCGCCAAGCGTAAATTTATTATTTAACACAATTATTTATATATAATTCATTATTTAACATATAATTGACTAGATTACCATTATTTATATATAGTGCATTTACGTCTAAAAGATTATATGTAAATAATTGCGTTAACGTTTCATTATTTATATATAATTAGTTTCCATTTTGGGGCATCCAGTGGTATAAAATACTGAAATTTTTGTGTCACCGCCAACCACTATGGTACTGACGTGATGTGGACTCTCGTTACTTCAGCACCCCTTTCTTTAAAATATGGATACGCCATTTTCCTGAAAACAATAGTTAAGACAAATATATTTCCATTCGTTTTGTTGTTCATGTCAATGTCTGATAGGTTATTACTTTAAAACAATGCTAAAAACACAGTGTCAATACGAACATTTACACATGTAAGACTGAGCTGAGCGACTCCCTATTAAGGTGGAATTAGTAGTGGTTATGTGACGTTTGTCATGCACTGTAGTATGCGCTATAGAAATGGAAGACCATAATGTAATGAGAATGAACGTTTCTGGTATTGCCGACAGTACAATCAGTGTAAAATATAGGCTAGTGTGGATTTAAACAATGTCCTAATGGCAATGTTCAAAATAAATGTAAATCAAATAAATATTACCATGAGAGGTGGTGTATCTTTGTAGTTAGGCATTATATACTGCCTTTATGTCTAAACAAACTTTAATTTTAACACCGGGTCTCCATTTTAAAAGCTCCTAAGAGTTTCGTGGAGGTCCTTTTCGTCGCTCTGATTTTGAATATGTATGGTTGAGTTTACTTTGTCATGAATTGCAAAGAACATGAATAAAGAAATAAAATGAAAAATGTAAAAAATATGTCTATATGCGTACAACAACCAGATTATAGAATTTACTAATAGACCAATAACTTTCCAATGATAACCACATGAACTACATTACTCCACCAAATTTTAGAAACAATAGCAGTATTGTACAAATAAACGGCATCGTACTTTTTATGTTAATCATCTATTTATTTTGGCGTACATTGATCATACAGTGCTCCTATCATTCCTATCATTATCAAAATCGAACGCACAATGAACAGATCATAATTATGCCTATAAAAAAAATATTAGATCATCACTCCAGCCCGCGTCAACAAAATTGGGAAATATTGATGCGGAAATTTAAAAAAAATGTTTCTTTATCTTGGCCGCATCATTTTTTCAACAGCATAAAAAACAATGTAATTTTGTGATTGGAAATACGTTTCCTTTAAAAAACAATAAAAATTAAACCTGTTTTTATACAATATTTACAATATTCTTGCCAAATAAAAAAAGTCCCTCCCTCATCTATTAAAAGAAGCAGTTCTGATTTTTAAAAAAAATAGTGATCTAATAATTTTTCATATGTGCCCTAAATTGGCTATAGTGGGACATAAATATCTTGTTTAATATTTTCAAAAAAAATTATATTCTTTTTCATTGTGTACAATGGTTGTCAAATTGACTATTGTGGGACACAGTGATGAAGTACAACTGTCTTCTTTAATACTTTCTAAGTTAATCCTTTTCTTTTTCATTGTGTTCAATGGCGGCTAAGAGCACATAGAAAAACATATTAGATTATCACTCTTAAAAAAAACGATGAGGGTGGGCGGTTTTGTTTTTGTTTTTTTTTAAAATCAGAACAATTCATTATTGCGCTTTTGTTTTTATTGATGAGGGAGGGAATATTTATATTTGGTTAATAATAGGCCTAGTAAATATTGTATAAAAACTGGTTTAATTTTATAGTTTTTTTTAAGAAATGCATCTGAAGTCATAAAATAGCATCGTGTTATGCTGTTAAAATAATTGATGCGGCAAAAAAAAAATTTTGTTTTTATTCCCACATCAATATTTCAAGAATTTTTCCCTGGTGGGGGGGGGAGGCGGGGGAGTGATAATCTAACAATTTATTCAGTGCCCAAAGTTGGCTATAGTGGGACAGAGTGATAAACTATAAATATCTTTTAATATTTTCCAAGATAATCCTATTATTCTTTCTTATTGTGTCCAATGGTTGCCAAATTGGCTATAGTGGGACACAGTGATAAATTACAACTGTCCTCTTTAATATTTTCTAAGTTAATCATTTTCTTTTTCATTGTGT